CTGTAAATGAGTGAAAACTGCAGAGTTCTGGCCATTAGATGTAGCTCGTCTGTGTTGGGACATTCTTTTGAACAGTGGTTGCTTTGTTTCCCCGATGTACGTTTTTAAGGATTGTTAAAAAAGCAGTAAAAGAAATAAAACCTACCTGGTGCTTGATTGGAAATGTGTATTTGACCCAAGTTGCCTGTTGCATCGTCTCCTCCTCTTCCAGCTTCCTTTCTCTCTTCTTCACTTTCTCTTTCTCTTCACGCTCCATAGATGTCATGCGATTTAACCTAAACATAGATTTTCTTTTTAGAAATTCTCATTAAAGGAAGTCTAAGTGTAGTCTGGTACGTAAAAATAAGTTAAAATATGAGACAGTATTGAAGGATAATTTGAATTTTTCTCATTATGACATGAAAACAAGCTTGGTAAATGGTACTGAACTTATAGAGCGCCTTTCAAGTCCCTCCGGACCCCAAAGCGCTTTACACTAACAGACATTCACCCATTCACACTCACATTCACACACTGATGATGGCAAACTACACTGTAGCCACAGCTGCCCTGGGGCACACCGACAGAGGTGGGGCTGCCATACATCGGTGCCACCGGACCCTCTGACCACCATCAGTGGGCAAGGTGGGTGAAGTGTCTTGCCCAAGGACACAACGACTGAGACGGCTGGACAGGGGATCGACCCAGCGACCTTCTGGTTGCAGGACGACTCACCTAACCACTCCGCCACAGCCGCCCTTGTTGGACAAAGCGTGCAAACGTTTAGACGAGACCTCTGTTCAGTACCTGAATAATTATCTTTTACTGCTGTTTTCATTTGTTCTTCAAACAGCCAACACAAGCCAAATGTCTGAAACATTTCTTTCTCACTTGCTTTGATGGTTAAAATTCTCACACACGTATAAATTCTGGTTCTGAACCTCGTAAAATCTCCAACAATCACCTCTTTAAAAAGAGCTGGAGGTGCTGAAGCAGTAGTTGCAGCAGAGGTGGGTGGTGCTGGGCCGGTTGTGGACCTGAACTCCAAATATTTTGCCTGACATCTAAGGTGGGCTGTCTGAGCTGATCTGGTTGCGTTCAGCTCAACAAACTAAACGGAGCACGTGTTCTTATGAATCTGCACTGATTGCTCGATTAGGTGTGAAGAGTTGCAAGATTTTGTTTTTAAACCTAAATTTCAACATAATTTGGGTGCATTTTTCAAAATCTCTGAACAAATCCAGAGATATCAAATAACCTAACAGGTAGGTTTTTGGTCTGTGGGAGGAAACCAGAGCACCTGGGGAAAAAAAAACCCCACACATGCACGGAGAGAACACGCAAACTCAACCCACTAAAGCCACAGACCAGGATGTTAAGTAGTACAAAAATTTAATAAATAGAATATACATTATTTTTTATAACAGTTTTTTTTATTCTCTGCAAAAAAAGCTAAATCATTTGAGTGGTAGTTCTTATTTTTTTGTTTTCAAACACTGTTTTACACTTTTTAAAAGTTAGAGTTTCATACAAACACAGCGTGTGTACAGTATACACGCAAGATTGTATTTTAATTCTTATTAGGACCGTGTATCAACTTCAATTTAAACACAAAACCTAATACCTAAATCAAAAATGCTATTCCACTTTATTAGGACTGGGCTCTGGTTCCCAAAAGGACTATTGGTCCTGATAAAGTGGGAGTTTATACCAGAAACAGTCCTAAAGGGTAATAAAAACCAGGTTAAACACACGTTTGTTCTTCTATCCTCATGGGGACTTTGCATTGACTGCCATTCATTTACTGGTTATTTCTACAGCCTAAACCAGGGGTGTCAAACTCATTTTCACCGAGGGCCACATGAGCGTTATGGTGGCCCTCGAAGGGCCACTTGTAATGAACTTTGACTAAACTGAGTTTTAACACGTCCTCTTTTAAACACTGATAAGAACTAAGTGTATGACTGACTAAATATGAAATAAATAATGTTCGGTTTTTTAACCTAGGAACTCAGAGAGACAACAGAAACCCCGGCCGAACATTAATCAATGACAACAGAGACCAGTAAGATTTATAGATTCACTTTGCAAAGAGGAGAAATTCAGTGATACTCAGCTCGAAAGCTTGGTGAAGATCAGAGAAATTCTGACCTCTGGGGGCGTGAAC